CGCAGGCCCCGAGTGCTGGGCGCGCTCTCGGTGGCGCTGTGGCGGTAGTGCTCAGGGCCTGGGGAGGGAGTGTTTCCCGCAGGGAAGCCTGCGGGTGAGGCGGGACGGCTTTCGTAGGGGACCCAGCAAGCGGGGGTGGCCCTGTACCTGGCTGGTCGGCGGGGGGGGTTGTAGGGGGAACGGGAGATGGGGTACGATGGGGGGATAGTCCTTACAGGGTACCCGGCAGATTGGGTAGGAGAAGGGGTGTTGGGGTGTCTCTCAGGGGTCCAGCAGAAGGGTGGGATGGCGGTTCCTTTCTATAGATGATCTATCAGACCCAGAGGATAACATAGGGTGTCTCCTATAGGGTGCCTGGCAGCTTGGAATGGGGCACTTCCCATAGGTGCCCAGCACATGAGGTAGGTTGGGAGGCTGCTTCTCAAAGGGGACACCCGTTAGGCATGGTGGGGGGAGTCTGTCTGCTTTGTACGGCCCTGCTGGAAGGGAGGAGGTCGAGGTGGATCTGAGTATCAATGATGAAGCTTCTCTGACTGCTGCATAAGGCCGAGTGCACCGTGCAGATACCAACCTTGGAGAGCTGAGGACTCAGAACCGTGCCCTGCCGTGGCCAGGTGGGCTCCGTGCCGTCCTCTGACCACGCTGCTCTCCATTCAGGTATCTCCCGGGACAACTGGCACAAGCGTCGCAAGACTGGGGGCAAGAGGAAGCCCTACCACAAGAAGAGGAAGTATGAGTTGGGGCGACCTCCTGCCAACACTAAGGTGGGTGATGTGGGGAGGCTGCTCGGTAGTTGTGTTTTCAAACTTGAGTTGCTGGTTTAAATATCTGCTGTGTTTTGTGAGCGGTTAAATATCTGTCGCTGCTGCTTTAAGAGGTGATGTTTTCCTCTATGCCTGTAGAAAGCAGTGATATCTTTTTGTGACAAGAGGCAATTGGAGTGATGAAATTTACACCTTAGGTAGATGCAACAGACCGTTTTGGTCACTTACCGTATCTGCCGATGCTGGGGTTTGTCATAGTTACACTGACCACGTTGCCTTTGAGCTTAGGAGTTGGCTGGACTCCTGCATGAGCTGTGCAGCCTTCCAGCACCAGCAACACCCTGGTGTTTGTTTCTGACCGTAGATTGGCCCACGCCGAATTCATACAGTGAGGGTTCGTGGTGGAAATAAGAAATACCGTGCCCTTCGGTTGGATGTTGGCAACTTCTCCTGGGGATCGGAATGTAAGTACATCATAACCCTCATGTGTTGGAACAGAAAAGTCGTTTACAGCTCTGCTGGTCCCTGGTACTGCTACAGAGTAGAGGGATGATGATGCAAACGAGGATTTTTGTAGGCTGGGTTTGTTTGAGCATCGTGGAGCTTGAAGTACTGGGTCTGAGGCAGCATGCATAGTGATGGTAACTTTGAGCTTATGTGGCTTTAGGAGACTCGGATGTCTGCGAAGTTCACGGTGATTGGGGTGTCATAGTTACACTGAGCGACATGCTCGCATTGCCTTTTTAGTGGGGCGGGGAGAACTACAGAGGGGTAAAAAACCTAAATATGGGTACTTCTTCATAAATGCAACTTTTTTTTTTGTCAATGAACGCTTACTAAAAGTTAGGTGATCCTGTACAACAGAGAAAGCTGAGGATTTTGCTGCGAAGGCGTGGCCCTGGGACAACATTGCCTTAGCACGTGCAGTTTGCTTCCTGCTCCACTAAGCAAAAGCAGGAAGCACGTTAGTGAGAGGGGAGTCTGTAGTGTTTCCCATGAGCAAGGTGGGTTTTCTCTGAATTACAAACCGAAAACCGTATAACTTGAGCCTGCTCAATGTTACTCAGCGTGATGGTAAAGCCAGTGGGGAGGAAAGTGGTGTTTCAGCAGTTGGCGAGGTGTAAGGGCAGAAGGACGTGCTTTCTCCTCAGTGGTCACAGAGCGTTGTCCCCACTGTGCTAAGTGCTGTCACTCACAGGCAGTGTTACAGAAGCGAAGGGACTGAGCGTACCTTGCAGAACAACGGTGAGGTACGTGAGCAAAGAGGAGAAAATCTGTTCTGTGCCTGGCCTTTGCGTATGTGGAGGGCTGTGTCTCCAGGGCAGGCAACTGCTAAACAGTCAAATCTCATAGCTTAACACTGAATGCTTCAGGTGGGTTTTGAAGGGTGAAAACACCAGCTTCCTCTCAATTTACTTGTAAACCCTCACCTATATGGTTTCTAGTGTGTGTTGCAGAGCAGTCCTGTTCAACATAGCTTATTTCAGTAACTCTGGGAAGTACATCCAGGATTGAGCCCTGTGTGCAGTGTTAGTTGCCATCTGCTGAGGCGTTTTCCAGTCAAAATTTATTTTTTAGCATTACTCAGTCCTATCTGAGATTAGTTCCAGTGAGGCCACAGATTCCAGTTTTTCATCTGGGCCGAATCATTTTCTGTCCTAGGAACAGAAAGTTGGACTGATGAAAACCAGATACATCTTTCCGTTGAATTTAAGTCATTGCCAGGGAAACTGGAGGATATTTGATTGAGCGATAAACGTGAGGTGGTTTAAGGGTATGTGTGAGATGCCGCGGACTGTATTCTCAGTTGTCTGATCCCTGTAGGTTTGAATTCATGCTCTTCTTTTGAAAGGCTGCACTCGCAAGACCAGAATCATCGACGTCGTCTACAACGCTTCCAACAATGAACTGGTGCGGACAAAGACCCTGGTGAAGAATTGCATCGTTCTCATTGACAGCACCCCGTACCGGCAGTGGTATGAAGCCCACTATGCCTTGCCCCTTGGACGCAAGAAGGGTGCCAAACTGGTATGTCTGGGATTGGCATTGTCATTTTGACTCCTTGCAGAGAGTAGAGTCTGCCCTGCTAGAGGCGGTTTGTCGTTCTGAGTGGATGGTGCCTGCCAGAATAGCTTTGGGTGTCCGTCCGTGGTAACAGTGGTTATCTGGGCTACATTCTGTCAGCTCCCAGGACGAGTCCGGCTCTGTTAACAGAGCGTTCAGTACCACGGAGCTCTCTCTGAGGCATCGCGCCCATTTGTGCACAAGGACGTGCCTGTCGATCTCTTGGTCTTCTAATGATGGTACCTTTATCCAGCTGGTGCTGCTGAAGGGGGATTGATGACATTATGGTGCGGAGGAACACTTCGCAGATCAGGTCTTTGTGCTGGGGAATGATTGCTCTTAAGTGCCTTTAAGCTCTCCAGACCTGCCATCTCTAATTTTGTTCAAGATGCAAACCCCAGACTGCTAGAAGGTATTTAAACCCCGACGTGTAGCACTCAGGTTAGGGTTGTCTCCTTGCATTAGAAACAAAGCACTTTTAGCTGAGCGCTGTGCGGTTCAGAAGCAGGGGGAGAGCTGGTAACCTGTCTGCCAGGACTTGCGCCACACCCCGGCGCTCTCGTTATGTCTGGAGACGGAAAGAGTATTCACCACTTTTTGGAGGAGGATTAATTAATCAAGGAAACCTTTGCAGTGTCATTTGTCTAAGAGCACCCTTCGCTGAGGCCCTGTGCTTTGTTGTCAGCGGTGACTCTCGTTAGCGACATCGCGTTTCTTGGCCTCAGAAGTGAAACAGCACCTGGTTCTGTGAGGCTGAAGTATTTGTACCTCTGAGAACACCAGAGTCTCCTTGATGTTAGTGGAGACCACCTGCTCTAGCAGAAGGTGGCCGTATGTTTAACCTTGTCTTCGCTTACGGTCTTGTTGTTAGACTCCTGAAGAGGAGGAAATCTTGAACAAGAAGCGTTCAAAGAAGATCCAGAAAAAATACGATGAGCGAAAGAAGAATGCCAAGATAGCGAGTATTCTTGAGGAGCAGTTCCAGCAGGGAAAGCTACTTGGTGAGTCCCTGGCGGTGTTAAATGTGGGTGGGGGTAAGGGAGTCGGGGCACAAAGAGGGTGCCAGGCCAGATCTTATTCTTGGTCTTGGGGTCATTTAAATTTCTACACGCTGTGATAAAGCTAACTGCAGGGTGAAAGCAATGGGGTTTTCTCTGTATCTGCAGGAGTATCTTCCGGGTCTTAAATGTAACTCGTTCTTTTCTCCGGAGATACCCCACTCCTGGCAGGAAGGGGAAAATTATTTCTGGAGCCTGAATTGGCGCGTGTCCCAGCAAGGCTCCTGGAGTTGATCATTCCTGGCGGCCTGGCAGAGAAATGATGGAGCTTGAGACTTGCAGAATGAGCAAAGGCCCGTGGGCTGCGCTGTGGGTCAGAAAAATGTCCTGTGAACATGTAACAGCTTTGACCAGTTTCAAGTTCTGGGGAACAGTTCAGTGTTCTGAAGTCTTCTGGTGATGAGACCATTGTCCAGTTCTGCTACTGAATTTGAGCGATGACAGTTTGGAGATCTGAGGAGGACTTCATTAGGGACTCAGTCCTGCAGAGCAGGGTCAGGAGCACAATACCTTAGGGGGAGGTACTGAAGCCAGCACATAAACTGGCGTGTCCGTTACCGGTAACATGCTCGTCCGCGCTTTTGCGGAGAGACTGCGTGCAGTGTTCATATGTACTGGGGTAGCGAATTATTAAACTTCTTTAACTGGATGACTTCTCCTTGCAGCCTGCATTGCCTCTAGACCTGGACAGTGTGGCCGAGCCGATGGCTACGTGTTGGAAGGCAAGGAATTAGAGTTCTACTTGAGGAAGATCAAGGCCAGAAAAGGCAAATGAATGAAAACTATTCTGCTGAGAGAACGAATAAAACCAAGAGTCTACTACAGTAAAGGGGTTGTGTGCTCATTTGCGTGTGCGGGGTGGAGGGGGCTTGCGTGGCTCCTCCTGCCTGTAAAGTGTGAAAGGAAGAAGGATCTCTCCTGGAATCCCTGAGCACTTTTGTGTCTTCAGGCAAGCTCTGGCCCTGCGTGCTCTCAACTAAAACATCTCCCTGGGCTCTGGGACTTCGTGGACCAAGCGGGTGTGCAAAAGAGTTGTCAGACTTGGCTCAAGTGGAAGATTTCCAGTACAGGAAAGCTGCGAGCAGGAGGAAGGTGCAAATGTCCATCCCCGCTAGAGTTGGGGCTTTCTGGGAGCTGCCGGGGTCTGGCTGGGCACGAGTCCCCGCTTTTCCCATGGTGCGTTGGGTCAGCACGTGCCTCAGGAGAGGGCTGGCTGTCCAGGGAGCAGCTCTGCGGCTGCAGTCCTGCTTTCCTCAGGCTCCGCCTTTGCGCGAAGTCTGGCTGAAGACTTGTCTTTTGCACCTCTGGCCTCTGCAGCTGGTACCTCCTGCCTCCGCTTCCCCAGGTCACCTGCGTTCGCGTCCTCTGCTTCGGCCCCTTTCGCCCTTGCTTGGTGCCTCCTGCCCGGTTGTGCGATCACCCTCAGGGTCCCGTGTCTTGTTTGAATCTAACTTGGCTGCACTGCTCAGTGACCAGCTGGTCCTGCCCTGACCTCCTTGGTCTCATTCCAGTGCAAGATCAATTCCTTCTAGCAGAAGGGCCAGGCTCTCGTCATGGTCTGTCCCTTTCGAAAGCTGGGTACAAACTCCAGCTTTCTGCCCTGTCGTTTGTGGTGGAATTGGAAAGCTGTGGTAAACAAAAACTTTGCTGGATGTTTTGGGGCATGAAATATCATTCCTCCGGGCTCCTGATTTTAGAGAAGGTCGGTGTGATGGATCTCCGCATCTAGCGCCTTAAAACGCGGGCTGCCTGCCCCACAAATAACTTGTGCTTGCTATTTTTAGTTCTTTTCCTGTGACGCTCTGCGCCGGCTGCTGCGCATGGCAGCGGGAGGTGCTAGTGGGCTCGGGTGGCCTGGGCAGCGCGGAGTCCCCCTGCCTTGCTGGCAGGGATGCGAGGGTGGGTCCCTGCTGCAGAAGAGGTGTGCCGACCCCATCAGAACATGGTACCTGTCACCCGCACGGCGGTGGTGGCAGCGCAGTTGGTTATGGTGTGGTGGGCGTGCGTTGCCACAGCAGAGCTGTGCCCAGGTGGGTGCGACCGGTTGCATTTCTGGAGTCCCTGGCAACGGGACCTGGCTGGGCGGGACGTTTGCACAAGCACGTTCCTTCTCCATAGTGATCTGGGGTAAACTTTACCTGCTCTCCAGCAACGCCTGCTTTCCAGAGAGGTGGGGCGGAGGCGATAAAGGGCCCTTGGGAGCGATGCGTCACGGCTGCTTCCTCCGAGTGTGTTTCTTCTCGCCCTCCACAGAGTGCAAACAGGATTCAGGGTGTTTCTGGGGGACTTTGTACAGAGGGAGAAACTGGGGCTTACGGAGCAAGTGCCAACTTGGTGTCAGAGCAGGAGCTGTAAACCTGGCCCCTGATGAGCAGGGTTATGGCTAATTCGTCAGTGCATGCTGTTTATGAAGTTATTACTCTGAAAAACGCAGCTTGCAAGGGCAAGGGCCCGTGGGAATGAAAGCAGCACCCATTGCCCACCGGCGCCGCGCTGTAGGTGTGACATGGGAACGGGACGGTGGCAGCTGGCTCCCACGGTGGCACAGGCTGTGGGACCTCGTGCGGCTTGGCCGCAGGATGCATGGCTCCTGGTCTGGCCTAGGCAGAGCCCTGCGGGTGTGCACGGGGATGAACCTGCCGGGGAGGAGGCAAGCCTGCCGTGCACTGAGCCAGAAAGAGATGGGCAGGGGCTGGGGCTAAGCACAGCTTTAGTCTCGGTAGGTTTATGAGGTGCCAAAGCCTGGTCTAAGGACCATACCCACTTCTGCAGATAGCTGCGAGGGCTGAATTTTAAAAAAGCTACTTTTGGTACGATGAACAGCCAGCAGCATAACCCAAGTAAGGTCACTCATCATCCTGGGTGTTGCTCCTCGCTGTTGAATGGCGCGCTCAGGTCCACGCAGTATTAACTTTGGGGTATTTTCATGGGACACGGTCCAACCCAGAAAATGACCTCATGGTTATGCTTTAACAGGTCCAGCAGTGGCCTGGAGGGTAGCGGAGGAGGAGCGGGGCTGGCTTGCTGGAGGGACACGGGAGCTTTAAAGGAAAGGTGGCTTTGGGAAAGGGGGGGTCTTGCAGGAAAGGGTGTTTTTTAACAGCTCTGCTAATAATCTCGGGGGAAACGAATCTGACTGCGGGAACCCTTCTACAGGGGCTGAAAGTATCTTTTTTTTTTTTTTCTGGCTGTATCACTTGGTCTAATACCCCGCAACCATCACTGGTGTCAGTCCATGGAGCTGTGCCCTTTTTGCACCAGGAGAACGTGCGCACTCCTTGACAAAATCCAAATTCACCCACTTTTTGGATAAACATGATGCCCCTGCTGTCTCACTGCTGGGGATGATTTGCACCGACAAAGAAGAACCTCAAAGCTGAGGTTGGCAATAGCTTTATTAATATTGAGGGGACATCTCCATCACGGTGTTGGTTTTCTGCAAGACTAATGCCCTCGTCCCATCCCTTGCCTGGGGTCCGGGCTGTCCCCTGTCCCCTGCGCTGGGCCACGGGAGCAGGGAGTGAGCCTGGCCAGCTGCAAGTCAGCAGCATCATCACGCAGATGGGCTGAATCCTGCAGTTTTGGGGCTAACAGCTAGTGTGAAGGCTGTTTGCCCAATCCCAAACCCACCAGGATCTTCCCATCAACCTGGGGGCACAACTTGGCTCAGGGCTGGGTGGTAAAAGGCCTGGCAATGTCCTGCTTCTGGACAGGGGGTCCGAGGGGGGTGTCTGGGGACAGGGAGCTTCGTGGCTGGCGGTGGCAGTGCCTTGGGGTGGGGGCAGCTCTTCTGCTCCTGGGAAAGGGATGCTTTTGGGGCAGCCTCAGGGCTCCCAGGCCTCTGGCTGGTCAGCCCCGATGCTTTCACTGGATGGTGCCTTCACCTGGATCAGTGGCAGCTCCTTCCTCCATGTTTTGGAGGTCTCCAGCGGCTGGGTCCCCCCTGGGCAACCACCAGGCATGGTGGGCTCGCTGGCCCGGCTCTCATCCTCTGTCTCCTCCTCCTCGATTCGGGCCACCGACTCAGGGTCCTCGGAGCGGTTGGGGTAAGGGGAGGGGAAGCCACCATCCACCCGGGGACGCCGCAGGTGGGGGTGACCTCGGTTGCCCCGGCCGAAGTTTTTGATACTGATGGCGGGGGATGCGGCAGTGAAGAAGCGGCTGAGCAGAGGCGTCTGGATGCGCGGCACGCTCGGTGAGGCCTCCGCTGGCTGACTCTGCTCTGCGTCCTCGCACATGCTGGGGGAGCACAGCGGGGTGATGGGGACAGGCTGCCATCCTCCACAGGGATGCCTGGCACCACCCACCGCCTCCATCCCAATGCATTTGCAAGCAGGGAGCACCTCCAGGAAGCCATGTCCCTGCCCCAGTGGCTCATCCATCACCCAGTGCAGCCCCCAAGCCCCACAGGGGCTGGGCAACACAGTCCCAGTGCGGATTTGCTGTTTGCTCACTGTAATTGGGCCCGGGGGGGACAAGCCCGCTTGTGCTATTGCTACCCTGAACCACTCGTCCTCTTTTTCTCCAGCCCCAGGGCTGCGCCGTGCACTCACCGCATATCGAAGGTGGAGCCCAGGAATGAGGGCTTCAAGGTCTCAGCAGCTGTGGCCATGGTGTAGGGAGGCTGAGCCGTGGACTCGTTCCAGTATTTGTCCTTCACGGCGGGGGGCAGGTTCTGGTACATGTCATCCACGGAGAGCAGGGACACCTGGGCACAGCAAAGGCAGGGGACAGGGGTGGCTTTGCAAGGACATGAGCAGGGCCGGTGGCTGCAGATGCTGCTCCCAGCGCCAACTTGGCAGGGGTAGGGCTGGGCTCTGCAAGGGGCCAGGGAGGCTCCAGGCCCATCTCCTGGCTGCATTTGGGGTTTTCCTCTTTTGAACACTTTTCTCTGAGGTGAGGGGCTGAGCAGCGGTGCCAGGCTGCTGAGCGTCCCTTGGCGGGGTGCTGACCCTGCCGTGGGGAGCAGACACACAGAGGGACAGGGCGGGAGGGACAAGGTGCAGCCCTGCTTCCTTGCATGGGAATCTATTTTGGACATGGACCTGCGTGGCCAGGAGCAGGGATGGGGGCCAGCAGGGCACAGGGGGCAGGGACGTCCCTGTGCCCCAATTGCAGCAGCCCCACACATGAGCCTGGGGCAGGACCCACCTGCAGGTTCCTGTCTATCAACTTGTTGGTCTCAAAGTCATCGTCATCTTCTCCAAAAGGGTTAATGATCTGCTCTGCAACCTGGGGAGGGAGGGGGCCAGGTGAGACAGGGGATCAGGGACAGGGACACCTTCCCACAGGGCTCTCCATCCCTCAGTCTACCCGTGGGGTACATGAAACATGCAGACTTGGAGCTCCGTGGTATCCCGGTGTGATGGCCCGAGCCCAGAGGATGTGTCCCCAGGGGCAATTAGCAGTGACGTGGCTGGTGCCATGCCCTGGGCCAGCCACCCCCCAGCCCAGGGGGGTGCTCAGGGCCACCTGGCCACCCCCAGCCCATAAAGCAAAGCCCGGCTGTGTGGCCGCATCTCACCTTCAGCCAGCCAGCATAGAAGAAGAACTGGAGGAGGGTGGAGAGAGGGACATACATGTCCAGGTCCCCCTCCTGCCCTGGCTCCAGCGGCTCCAGGAACTGCCGCCCGATGAGGCAGAAGGCGAAGAAGGAGTAGACGGCAATGGTGACCACCTGCCGGGAGCATGGGTCAGCCGGCAGCGAGGGTGGCAGCCGAGGGGGATGCTCAGCACAGGGGCAGCAAGGAGGCAAGAGCCTCGGCCAGTCACTGATGCTGTTGTGGGCTTAAGGCTAAACCCCACTGCCCCGCTGCCCAGGCTCCTGCACACCCCTGTGGGGCTGTGAACCAGCAGCCATGCCGGATCCGGTACCAGATTCAATGGGGGAGTAATGTGTTTTTAGGAGGGGGGATAAAGTACTCCCCGTCAGGGTGCAGGGAGGAGGCTGTGGGGCTCCTCTGCCATTGTGGGGTGAAAGGAGCTGGGATCTGGGCTTGGAGGGTGCGGGGGTACCCACCTGCGTGTACACCAGGGGGATGCTGATCCAGTCGTAATGGAACAACATGCTGCACTTGGCCCGGTAGAGATTCAGCTCCTGGGCAGAAAGGACAAGGACGGGTGACCCGGGCTTTGCACGAGCCCCCCCCGCTGCGCCCGGTTCCCCCCACGCACCCGGCACTGACTCACGTCCATGAGCAGGCGGAGGGCCACGTCGTCGCGGATGCGGCCGTCCCGCCTGGCCTGGGCCGCCAGGTTGGTGAACCACACGCAGGGGATCCAGTACTTGTTGAAGTCAGAGTGGAGGCTCTCAAACTTCTTGCGCTCGTCCTGTGTCATGAAGCCTGTGGTGAGGCAGAGGCTCAGCGCCACGGCCCCCGTGTTGGTGGGGGAGAGCCCTTCTGGGGGCTGTCCCCAGCAGGAACGCAGGGTTTTCCAGGTGAAACTACAGCCCCTGGAGACAAGGTCTGGGCAGAGGGGAGGCGGGGCTCTTTGGGGGTGAACATCTGTGCAAGGATGCTACCCTGTGTGCGGGGCAGTGGGGGGCAGGGATGCTTGCAAGGATCCCTGGCCCCCAGCACACCCTCCCAGTGACGGGGACACGCCTGTGGCCCTCAGCTGTCACCCCACATTGCAAGCCATCACTCCCAGGGCTTAGCCTCACCCGCTTCCACCACGTGGTCCATGGTGGGGAAGCGCTTGAGCACCCTGGTGCTGACAGAGCGCAGGATGAGGACCGCTGACAGGTTGGCATAGCGGATGAGGGTGCGCCGCAGGATCCGGCCCCTCTCGTCCTTGCCGTGGACATTGCTGGAGATGACGCACATGAGCTGGTCGGGCAGGGGGATGCTGGTGTATTGGGCCCACCACCGGTTCACGATCAGAGTGACATAAAAACCTGCACAAAGAGACAGCACATGGGGGTTCATGGGTTGAGGCGAGGAGCAGCCCACAGCAGGAGAGCTGCCATGTTTCCAGGGGTGACAGATTTCTGTGTGGCTGGAAGATAAAGCATACGCTGTGCTTCCCATTGGGCTGCCCTCCCCAGGGATGGAGATGGGGATGTCCCCAGCTCTTCCTTGCCTGGGGCACAGGTGGCACAGGGCAGGACAGCCATCTCTAGTAGATAAGGTGCCTAGAGAAGGGTGCAGAGTGGGCCAGGGGAAATCACAGCTTCCGACTGGCATCCACAGGGCCAGGGAGCTATGCTCAGTGGGTCTGGGAGCCAAGTGCCGTCCCCGGGATGCCAGGCTCCTCCATCCCCCATCCAATGGTGTCTAAGGGATGTTTTGGCATGTGGTCAGGATGGGCAGTGGGGCATCCTCAAGCCACCAGCGCCGAGGGAAGCAGGGGACCGCCACTCCCAGGTTCCGGGAAGCAACCCCTACCTAGGACGAACGACATGGGGATGAGGTCCGTGGAGCGGTTGCAGTATTGAGCCACTTTGGTATAGAGGCGCTTCTGTTCCTCAGTCAGCAGCCGCCTGCAGCGGACATGCATTGGGGTCAGGGACACGGAGTGGGGTCAGGGACAAGCAGCAGGGTCAGAGGTGAGCAGTGGTGGAGCTGGGACACCGCCTCGGACCTCCACAAAAAGCCATTGCCTGATTCCCCTTCTCCTTGCCCTCCCCTGCCCTCACCTGCCCACTCCCATCCTCCCTGGGGGAGCCCCCTGGGCTTCTCCGCTCCCTGCAGGGACCCCAGTCCGTGACCAGTGGGGCATCTCTGCACATCCCGCTGGGTCAGCAGGGAGGGACACCAACACACCGACCCCGCTCACCGGTAGACGAGGCTGAGCATGGCGTACAGCACCATGAAGACGATGAACTCCTTGTACAGCAGCTTGTAGATGCTGCCTTTCCAGCGGAAGAGCAGCTTGGAGAAACCTCCGAAACGAGAGTTAGCGACTTTCAGCGTGTAGGAGATGGTCATTGTGGCTCAACCCCGCACCTCAGCGGAAAAATCCTTCTGTCACTGGCTGCCGGCTAAACTGAGGAGAACTGGGGTTCCCGCTGCTGTCCAGGCTGCAGGGCCTGGGGACGTGCACTCGCTCCCACACCAAGCACTATGGCCCATCAGCAAGATCACCCACGCGGCCGCCCTGCCCTCCCCACACCTGCCACAGCCGCTGCCTGCTCCCTGCCTGCACCCACCCGTCCC